TATATAATATATATATATATATATACGTATCTAGATCTCAGTTCTATGTTATTGACTTATTTCTCCTTTTTTTTCCTTCTCACTTTTATCGTGTTCTATCGAATAATATTTTTATCTTTTTTGAACTTTATCTATTTATAGTCTCGCTCCTTCCTCATTATAACGCTATTCGTACCGTTGAAGACACACCCGACTCTTAGATTTTAATAAATTCAACGCGGTTACGTCTTCTTAACTTGTATAATGAGTGCTAATAGTGATGCTTGGACAACTAGAAAATGCAATTTAGTTTTACTGTATTACAGAAGGGTTTCGGGTTACCGGTTATAGCGTTAAAAATCACATCATTGACACATATACTACGACAAACTTCTTTTGTCTATCGCCATCTTTTGTCCACTGACACATCATTAGAAGGTAATTGAATCGATACGTACTTGATACAAAGTAGAATACGGAGTACAATTAAAATCAGAAAATAAATTTAACACAAAGGTTTACTGAGTATAATAAAGGTGTTGTTAAAGTGCTTTATAATGTTTGGAATACTAAGCACAAAGCTACACAATAGGTTATCTGTGCTCTGCTCACCACGGTTATCGAAACCCGGTTTCTAGCGTTGTAAGTCCGCAGACATACTACTGTGCCACTGGGTGGCTTGATGGGGGGGAATATATATTGAATATGGCGGATTTGTTTTTAAGTGATGTTTATACATTTCCACATCAAAACGAGGATACTTATTTTAAAAAATGTTTGTAATTTACATGTATATATCTCTCTTATTAATGTAATAGAAGTAAGGAACACGTTTTAAACAGATTTTGTATCAAGATTTTTCTTCCTAGAAAAAAAAAGGCAACTTGAAAAGTTTTTTCTTAAGAAATTGGATCTTTCGTGCAAAATTCGTTTATTTCGTAACAATTTCTTTAAAAGAGTTTCACTCAAACATTAACTGCTTGATATTTATGTGTTTTTTAGCTCAAAATCCCCGTAAATTAAAATATTAGGTTAAAAAAATGACATTTCCGTGGTGAATATCTCAATTTTACTTTTCCTGACGAACGGGGTAAATCTATAGAATGATTCAATTTAATACGAATATCTGTATTGTCACTGTAGTTTGGAGTTGTATGTAAGACTTTGCTAATTAATGTTTAGAACAATTAAATAATTATTATTATTTTTCATTGTCTATACGATATCTTATTCTGACATCCCTAAAGAGCCATTAAAAATTTATGCATTATGTTTCATGTTGCCTTCTTATTAAGAATTTGAAAGGCAGTGTCGTAAAAGAACTTAAGAACCCAAGCCTATAAATTCCAGTCATTTAGTGATATCACGTAATGTGACAAAGCTTGACACAGTTAATTGTTTGTCAGCTCGAACTAACTTTAATTCTTCAACGTTTACAGCAGATACAAATTGGAAACAGGAAAGTCAGTGATGTAAGTATGTCCCCCGGAAACAAAAGGGGCCCCAATCGTAACTACAATTATAGAGAAATAAATGTAGGGGAAAATTACGTTTATGCTGGGGGGGGGGGCATCTTTTGTAGTTAAACAACTGAGAGAAGTACTAACTCGTCTGCGAGTTTCCACATAACCGGTAATTGTCAGTGTATGATTGGTTAATTTTGACATACGTGTACCTAGATTACCAACTATCAGTACTTCCCGACTTTTGTTGAAATGAATAGTTTATGAGTGGTATATTACAGGAACGTGTTGAATACGCGTGAAATACTAAGCACGCACAAATGCTTTTTAAATAATCTTAAAAATCACGCTTTACATTTCTATTTTTGTTGTTACTAAAATCTGTAAAACAGCAGAATTTACAAATTGTAAAAATCAACAGCATCATATTTATTTGATGAAAATTTTAACTATCATTAGAAAGTGTTTCGAACCAAATCGTTTTCTGATGAAATAATACAAAGAACATCAGCGATTAAACATATCATTAATCGGTACACACTAAAAGAATAGATGTTTTAGTCTCAGTGCATTTATTTGCAGTATTTCCTAATACACACTAAAGTTGTTACCACAGATACTCTGAATCCGAGCAAAACGGGCATGGAATTTGTTTAACTTTTAATTTAATTGAACTGTTTCAATCATTCACAGAGTACATGATGAATGCATGGAAGTTAGAAGCCTTGTATATATATATACGAAATTTTTTAACTGTGGAAGTCGAACGATACGACAGTATTTGCTTCTTATCAAATGACAACCATCGAGCTTCTCCATCCATCAAGCAACAGTTGGGACTGACGCTTTCCGGGGAAAAGTTTCCTGTATAGCACCAGTTGCTATGGTTACGGCACAAGCAACTATTTTAGTTCAGCCAGGTTGCCTAGGCCACGCCAAATATAAGAGTTGGTAATTAAGAGTGGTAAAAGTTGCGAGAGACTTTCAAGCTCTGTTTACTCGTAATAATAGACGTGAACTAATCGGTCTCCAAGGAGTGGAAGACGTGATATGTACTTGTTAAGTTGAGTGGTTGAAGCATTCACCCTGAAAGTCCTTTAGGATGGCCTCAAACACTCTCTGATAAAATTAAACGACAATGACTTAGATTTGTGTGTGTGTGTGTTAATTGCTTTTCGATCGTGAAAAATAATCCTATAAAATTAAGATCATAATAATATAAAGAAGCTTTAGTTGGGAAAATTTAAGATGAAGGGGGGATTTGTTTGTTTGAAGTGGTGGCCTACCGGTAAGCTTGAGGGTTTACAACGCTAAAATTCGGGGTTCGGTCACTGCTGTCAGATAGCCCATTATTCATCTTCGTGCTTATAAACAAACGAGCATAACTCTTAAAAAAGTTAAGGTTGTAATAAACAGTTATGTACGACATAACCAAATTTGATTTACGGTATATCTCCTTTAAGTAGGGACATGTTTTAAAATTTTCTCAAGACAGTCATAAACCAATCATCACGGAGAGAAGCTTTTAATGAAAGCTCTGAGCACACCTAGAGCTGCCTTTCGAACTTTAAATAAGTCGTTATATATTTTAACAGTTGCATTTTTGTGGGTTTTTTTATTAAAGTTCTTGTTAGCATCAGTTTTTTAACTATTTCGCCAAAAGAAAGTTATATCTCACTAGTTCTTTCTCTTTAAAAAGCACCTTATCACATGTCAATGTCAGATTTTAACTGATTAAGTAGCATGCCAGTATCAGTTTTTGCCTATTTTGGCAGCTTGTCAGCATCACTTTATGGCTGAGGATGAAAATTCGCGACTTGTGTATGTGTGTGTTTGATTTTTATAGCAAAGCCACATCAGGCTATCTGCTGTTTCCACCGAGGGGAATCGAACCCCTGATTTGAGCGTTGTAACTCCGTAGACTTACAGCTGTCCCAACGGGGGATAATTCAAGACTTATTGATAGGGTATTATTGTAGAAAACTATTTGTTTCCTTAAAACAAGAAAAATACTCAAGGCTATTAATGCTGTAATATTTTTAGAAAACCTATATTTTCCTTATTTTTTTATCAAGACAAAATGATAAGGATAAACATCGACTAGTAATACATTACTGTACACTCTGAGTAAAAAAGTGTACGAAGTCAAGCATCTAGCGGGGCATGACGTAAAATGCTGATATAGGATATATACATTATATCTTACTGTTGCATATTTTTTGTTCAAGTACACTTTTAAAAGTTTGAATTCTTAAGCTTTAACCAATTCGGGTTTTTAATATACAAATCACACCGTTGTTTCTACATATTTTCAGTTATCAACATGGTATTTATTAGGTTACCATTGTTGTATGGCGCTTTGAAAAAAAACACTTACTGGACTTAAAAATTGGAGAAATTGATCTAAAAAGTAACTCAAATTTTCTATTAAGTCCTCAGACTGTAGTTATAAACCTGACGACGTTTGTGTCAGGATGAAACAAACTGTTATTTGTAATAACACCAAATAAAGTTATTAAAGCCACATTACGTATTTGAAATAGCTTGTACCGTATCCATTACGAACACTTTAATTTACTTTTTCATAACAACTAATCACGGAGATAAACGCTATCATCAAAACAACCACAAAAGAGTTCGTCTAAACAATTGTTTACTAAGCTAGACTTCGAAGCACAAGAGTTTAATATGTAAGAGAGGAAATGTCTCTTTCACCTTTCCAATGAACGGCACTAGGTGGTGCTCACACATTGAGAACATCTCGATATCCTTGACGATTACTAATTCATCATGGTCTTCTTGGAAGATGGCGTCATTCACCACATCTACAATGAACCAATGAAAATCATATCACAGTGTAACGAGTTTTAAAACACACCCACATCTATATATAAATCATCTGAAATATGATCAGCTTTTCTTGAGTCCAGTTTCATATCACTTTGAAATTTAGTTAACTTATCAGATAATTACATCCAGCTTACCTACAAAAAATAAAGTCTTGTTCGTTTTGAACATAAAGCATTTCTGTGTGTATATTAAAGTTCTGCACTACTTTTTTTTCTCTTTACATCCATATCTGTTATTTTGGTGTAGTATAAAATGTTTCTCAAATTGAACTATTTTTCTATGTTCAGAAATTTAAATAAAATCGTAAAAAATAACCTATATATATATGATTTATAATGCGCGATATAAAAAGAAACGTGGAAAAAGAAAACAAATATAACTTATGAAAAAACTTACTAAGAAACTTCTTAAGATTGTACACAAACAGATTATTATTACTGTTTCATAAAATATTTTCAACAAGTTTCTTGAAAATCGGAGCATTTCTTTGCCGAGTACGGTAAAAAAGAAAATTTTGAAAAGCAAACAAATAATACTTAAATAGTCTTTGATAGATTGTTTAGGCAGAGTATTCATTCAGGGTATTTCTCTACACTTGTGTTTCTACAACAGACAATTGCCGTCCATTCAACAAAGTTTCATCAAGTACTTAACAGTACCAGGGAAATAAAAACAAATATCTATCTAATTTTCTGGTTTTTCAATCACTGTTAGAAAATAATCTTGATGCGTTAAACAAGAATACTAGGACTATATATAAACATTATTGTATAATCTCAGCTTAATAGATTTTTAACAGATTTTTTTTTCTAATAATGATAATGCTTTTATGGATAATGTTATATTATTCATAAATAAACTAGAAAATAATGGCAATTAAGAACATTTTTTACACTGTTTATAATAAATATGAAAATATTTAAAAAAATATATTTTCGATAAGGAAAATACCTTTTTGTCACTAGAGATTGTTAGCTACTTTTAAGTGGCTAAAATTAACATTTTATTCAGTATACCGGGACAGAAAGACTAATTTCAAGTAGCTGCGCTTGTCTCGGTTTTCCCGTGTTATACTTGAATGCATTTTCAAGAGAAATGGAGGAGGTTGGGAGTATGAACTACATAAGAAATATTAAGGTAGGGTTTGTAATTCTATTTAAGATAATTTTATTTAATATACATTATTATTTTATTTCTTTTGTAAGAGTGGAGATTGGGAGTGGCATATTATAGAAATATTAGGGTGGTTTCATTTCATTTATACTTTAGGAATTATAGGAACTTTTTAAGTGTAACTGCCTTCCCACAACTGGCTGCAGAGAGTGAAAGGCAGCAGGAGCTGAGACGTTGTGAGTGTAAGCACTTAACTCCATACACTTAATTGATTTTCCATGATTACTGGCTAGTTTAACATTAGCGCTTGGATTTTGTCTGGTAGATGGGATATCCCCAATGCATTTGGGAACTATTACAACAGACAATATCCATTATGACATTAAGGTGACGATTGGAGTTTACAATGGATTTTGCGAAAGACTTCTTAATGCTTATTTTATATTAAATTTATTATTGTTTTATAATGCTGATTTTATTCGCCTATTAACAATTAATGTAAATATTAGTATTGAAACTATATATATATATACAAATATCAAATTTTCATTTCACTTGAGACTGAACCATTAGTTTAGGACAGAAAAAATATGTATTTTAATACATCGGATGTCATGCCCAATTTTAATATCTCGGTTCCTTAGAAAATATTTTTCAATTTAATCACAGCGAAATTTCTCAATTCATTTTAATTTCTGAGATTGCTGTTTAGTTTAAAAAATCGACGTGAAGAAACATATCTTTTTATTGTTGTTATTTTGTTTTGGTTGTTTGTAATAAAGCACAAAGTCTTTGTAAGTCGCAGACATACCACTGTGCCATTGGGGAGCATTTATAAATGTAAGAAAATTAAACAATTGTATGTAAAGAACTAATGTAAATATACGAGGTATTTTCTTTTTCGTCGTTTACATATATATATGGAATTTTAAAAATATCTCAACTGCAATAATTTTAATTTGGCGAACGTAAAATATGAATATGGGAAATAGATCTTACAGTTAGCGTATCATAAACACGTCTTAATCGAAAATTGACAAAAACGTATCATTAAAGATTTCAGTATGATAATTCACCGGATTGATTATTTGAAAAAAAAATATTAAAGTCTACTTGTATTCTGGATAACATTACGTTCAGCTGAGAAGCGAGTTTAAATGAGAACAATACTTACGAAAGAAGCACTCATATTAAATAAATGTCCGTTAGATGGCAACAGTAGTGGGTAAGAAAGTCTCAGAGAATTTTGTTTTGCTCTGTTTACCATGGATAATCGAACTCCGGATTTTAGCGTTGTAAGTCCATTAAATTACCACTGACCTACTGGAGAACAGTCTCAGGAAAGATGCTATAATTTTTCTTTAGAACGAATGGTTCACTATTGTTTTGTCTGCTGTTAAACGACAAGTAGTCTTTTACTAGTTAAAAAGGGAAAGTTGACGTTTGATAGCGAGCGATAAAGAACTTATTTTAAGTGGTAGAAAGTTGAAAACAGGTAATAGTTTGAGTTAGTTTGTAATGGCATTAACAAATTGTAATTAATTATATGCTATCAGAACGAAAATCGTGTTATAATTTTGCAAGGTGCAAGAAATATTTTTGGAAAGAAGACAATAAACAACTTTTCAGTAATCATAGCTGTTCCACCTTATTAAATGTTACCAGATACTGTAACTCAGTTATTTTAATTATTAGCTAAGTTTTCTTTGTAGGTATTTAAGCTGATAAAAATAACCAATTTTCATACAGGCTCGTTGAGTAAATCACATATAAAGAAATACATTCTATAATCTGATTGCAATCTGCCATGACGTTAGAATATATTTTAGTTATTAGCTAAGTTTTCTTTGTAGGTATTTAAGCTGATAAAAATAACCAATTTTCATACAGGCTCGTTGAGTAAATCACATATAAAGAAATACATTCTCTAATCTGATTACAATCTGCTATGACGTTAGAATATATTTTAGTTATTAGCTAAGTTTTCTTTGTAGGTATTTAAGCTGATAAAAATAACCAATTTTCATACAGGCTCGTTGAGTAAATCACATATAAAGAAATACATTCTCTAATCTGATTACAATCTGCTATGACGTTAGAATATATTTGTTAGTCTACATCTATTGGAAGATTGTATAAATTTTCGCCAACTGAAAAGGACGTTGTACACATTTTTAACTATAAAATATATCATATAGAAAACATGTACCTTGTAGACGTCTGCTGTAAACTTCTACTATTCTGTTGAAAAAGAAACAGAGAGAAAAACGAATTAGTAAATTGTAACTTGCAGATACTAACACTGCCGTTGGTAGTTTGTATAATGAAAATTATTTATTAAAAAAGGCAATTTCCAAATAATTACAAATATAAAACACAACCTAAAACCGTTGATATACGTTTTTTTTTTTTCACTGATCACTTATAACTACACACAAGTTTAAACCAATTTCCACTTATTCAAAACTATTTCCAATTCACTTGATGAAAAAATCTACGGTTTCTAATATTAGTTATAAGCCTATGACATTAAAACAGTCTATTGAACTAATAAGGTTATCTACTAGTTAAAAAGATGCATTTGGCTTGTTTAAGCATTGACTCGGCAAACAATGATTAATTTATATATATGTATAATACTGTTGATACCTTGCTAGTTTGCTCAAACCGAGGACCTTCTTGTTTGGAAGGTAGCCAATAGAGACCTGAAAATACGAAATATTACATTTATGAAATGTTACTTCATTTAATGCCCATGAAATTCAAAATACTAAAAGTAAAATATGCTTCATTAAATATATAATTTCTTATAGATATAATTCATAGATTTCATATTTCTAAATTTTATTTGATCAGATATTTCAAAACAGATTCATCTTTTGTTATTAAGATTGTCATTTTGGGTACTTATAGAATGAAACGTGATCCAGACAGTAAAGCAAAGTCGTGTACGTTACTACATTATATTGTACTAGCAGAAATACTTGCCCTCCGGGCAGGTATAACTACTAGTTCCTGCAGAAGGCTATTGGGCTTGTGGCCTTTTCTGGAATTATCTGACAGTTCTACAACAATGTACTCTCACCATCCAGGAGAAAAAGGATTTTATTGAAATTTTAGTCTAAGAATGAGCTGTCACCACAGCATTATATCACAGAGTAGATTTTATTGAAGTATTTCTTTGTAGACACAGTTATTAATGAAAGTGCCTTGTTTTTCTGTTGCAACACTCATGAGATTTTCACTAAAGAAAACAAATGTTTTAAAATTTTTTTTCTGATTGTTTTAAATTTGAAATTTACTCCTTTTTTTGTAATTTTTATTGGTTAAATCTAAAACATATCATTTTTGTGGAAATTTCAATTGTTTTATTTATTGCTCAGCTATAAAAATACTGCCTAGTTATAAAAATATTACCCAGTTATGATTAATGATGATCGGTGTGGTGGTTTCCGAGATCCGAGTGTTGGACGTATACATCACAAGCTCCATTATAATAAGATTACATTTAAGAAAGGAAATAATTGAAATAAATGTACAAAAATATTAGTTTCACTAGTAATTCAATTTTAATGAAAATACCTATTGAAAAGTTTACCGAGGAAAGTATTTTTGTCTTGATTATGTAATTTGCGCTTAAATTCAACAATACGCAGGCTAATGAAGGAAAACAATATTATAATTTAATAATATACAATACTTATAATTTATGTTCGTGTAGCTGTCGTGGGAACATAATGTTATGAGATTCTTGTGCCTCGAGGGTTACTTCCTAAAGAAACAGTCCAGCTAGAATTGGCTTAGCTACCATCTGTGACATTTGTACGCGATGGCCATTACTTTCTGACCATGAGATTACCAG